TGAGAACCTCATAACAATCCATGACAATCTGGCCCCACCCCAGGGACTCTGGTTCTATGGCTCTGCAGTGCAACCTTGGCAGAAGTTTTTCGAGGTGCCCAGGTGAGTCTACAGGACCACCAGGACTGAGATGCCCTGGGCTAGAGGATGTCCAAGTTCACCCAAACTTAGGTCCTTACTCCCTGGATCACCATATTTCCTGGGCCTTTAGAATTACTAAAAATGCTTTGATTTAACAAAATGTCCATTTACAATACTATAATTACACTTTATATTTGCACAGCCCATTACTATGTGACAGAGTAAGCTTATGGGCTCATTCATCCTCACCACAACCTTTTGGGGTAGGCAGTGGGCAGATTTCACTGTCCCACTTCCCCTTTATTTTTCTCCAGGGCACTTATTACTGTCCAACATGCCGTACTATTGCCTTATCTATATTTGTTGTTTTTCTCCCATTAGAATTTAAGCTTCTGCTGGGCATGGTGGTGCACACCTGAAGTCCCAGCTACTCAGGAGGCTGAAGCAGGAGGATAGCTTGAGTCCAGAAGTTCAAGGCTCTAATGCACTATGATCGTGCCTGTGAATAGCTACTGCACTCTAGCCTGGGCAGCATAGCAAGACCCCATCTCTTAAAAGAATGAATTTTTTTAAAAAAAGAATTTAAACTTCATCAGGGAAGAGATTACTATCTCTTGTATTCCTTGCTGGCACACAACAGGCTCTCAGTAAATATTCACTGAATGACTGAATGAATTATAGAAGAAGAAACTAATGCCCAGAGAGGTTAGGAGACCTCCCTGAAGTCACACAGCAAGTAAATGGAGTAGCTGTTGAATTGTGTCTTCTCTAAGTGTACGTTTTGTCTACTTTCACTCTGGGATTCCTAGAGTGACTGATATTAGAGTGGACCCAGAGGTACCAGAGGAGTGGGATTCAGTATCTGAGACCGCTGTGACTGGGCTACCTGCTGCCAGGAGAGCACAGTTTCTTTGTCAAGGTGAGGAGGAGCAGCTTCTGCTGATGACAGAAGGGTGTGACTTAATTTATAGCTTCTCCTTTTCATTCTGGGAATAGAAGATTTTACCTTGTAATTACCTGCAAGTGGTTTGTGCTAACGCGCATTCCGAAAGGTGTAGCATAAAAATGAGGAAGCTGTCAGGTCATCACCTGGGCTGGCTGTTTAAAGGAACACACGTGATCACCAAACTTACCACAGAGCTGGGAGAGGCCTCAGAGGGCAAGCAGTCCAACCTCCCGTTTCTCAGATGAGAAAACAGGCCCGGAGAGATCAAGTGGCTCGCTGGGGTCACGGACCCCTGGCTCACCCTGTCACTCTCTTATCTCTGCACCTTGCACTGCCAGTTGCTCCCGGAGGTGAGATGGGGTTGACCCGCAGGCAGGACAGCAGTGTGGGGTGGAGGGGGAGTGCCTGCCTTCCTCTGGGTCTCACACCTGGGGGCCACCCAGCACATGCGTATCCAGGAACAACCACATGAGAAGTCACACGGGGTGAAACAGGGTGACTCGCAGATAATTAAGAAACATGACCTGAGTCTTTGGGCCTTTGCTGCCCACTCCGCCCCTTGCTTGAGATGCAGGGAACTGATTTCAAATCAAGTGGCCTAGGTACCTTTGCTTCCTCTTTTTATTTTGCACTGGATTGATCAACACAGACTTGGGTTTCTCCAGATTCATGATCCTCTGTGCTCAGCCTCCCCCCTGAAATTGCATTCTAATCCCACATGACATTTGGCTGGTTTCCCCAGCAACCATCTCGAAAGCCATAAACAGCAGATTAAGGCTTCGAAGGGAGAAGTGAAAGACTGGACGGTCCTGGCCAGGAGATAAAAACCCGGACACGGGAAGGCTGGTTCACAGCAACATCTTCTGCTAATAAGAAAGGGAAGATCACCCGTTGCATTCGGGTGTTTTGCAAGTGGAAGCAGCAGTTTTTGTTATTTTTATATAAGAAAATCTTCTAGTACCTAAGAAGCCATATGGTACCTCTGAAACAGGGTGGTTTGTTGGGTAATTTTATAAGCAATTTTCATTGCCTTACAAAACCGATTTATACAAACGTTATCTTTATAGGTAAAAGAACATGGAAAATCACCACAATTTATTTACATTCCACCAGATTCCCTTCAAATCTTAATCAATATACAGATATAGATTTTATGTAGTCCTAAGAGCTTAAATGTGCTAGACTCATTTTCTATTTATACACACATTGCCATGTGTTGCAAACGCCCAAGAATTTGTATGGCTGGAGCCATTATTATGAAGCATAACGGCTTGGCCATATTTCCATTTATCACTTGGAATTGTGGTCATTTCCAATTTTTCCATAATGTGTACAAGAGACAGGCATGTTTCCTCGCCTCTCTGGGCTCAGAATGTGTGGATGTCAAAGCCAGAGGAGACCAGCTCAGCCAAAGGAGGGTTAAGATTCTGGTCGTGGAAGCCACCAGAGCTCAGGACAGGAATTGATCCTCAGCAACCGAACAAACCACATTGCCTCCTCTGAATCTTCCTTCCCGTTGGCAGTTGCTGTCTGTTCTCCCTCCAGAGTATATCCCAAATCTGACCTGTGCCCTCTGCCTCCACGGCCACCCCCATCTCCATGCCACCCTCCTGCTTGGGCTCCCTCCATCTGTTCTCAGCCAGCCACAGTGGTCTATTAAAAACTGGGTCAAGTGGCCAGGTGTGGTGGCTCACGCCTGTAATCCTAGCACTCTGGGAGGCCGAGGTTGGCAGATTGCTCGAGGTCAGGAGTCCAAAACCAGCCTGAGCAAGAGCGAGACCCTGTCTCTACTATAAATAGAAAGAAATTAATTGGCCAACTAATATATAGAGAAACAATTAGCCGAGCATGGTGGTACATGCCTGTAGTCCCAGCTACTCGGGAGGCTGAGGCAGCAGGATTGCTTGAGCCCAGGAGATTGAGGTTGCTGTGAGCTAGGCTGACGCCACGGCACTCACTCTAGCCTGGGCAACAAAGTGAGACTCTGTCTCAAAAAAAAAAAAAACTGGGTCAAGTAATGTTGGTGACTTTCTTAACACCCTCGTGCCCTTCCCCAGTCCTTGAAGTGAAATCCCGGCTCCTCTCTCTGACCTGAGGCCTCTCGACAGCTGGTCTCTGCCGCTCTGACCTCATCCTGTCCAGGCTCCCCTCACCCCCACTCTGGCTGGCCACACTGGCCTCCTGGGCTTTGCACATACTGACACCCACCCGCTTCTAGAATGTTCCCCAGCCCCAGCCCCTCTTGCACCTGCCTGCTTGTCCCTCAGCTCTCAGCTGACCTGTTCTGTCCTGGCAGAAGGCCTTTATCCTTTCCTCTCTTTCCGAAGGAGCCCTACCCTCCCCCCACCACAAGGGCCAATGACGGGCCAGTGTTGTCTCCTTCGCAGAACTTTTCACAGATCTTCTTCCTTTCGTGCTGCCATCTTTTGTGCTTGGGTATCAGCTGTCCCTCCCACCCCACCCCCACTGGAAGGTGAGGTCTACAGGGCAGGGAAGGGCCACTGCTGACTCCCCCCACCCCTTGCAAAGCACCTGGCCCCTAGTGGACATTGCCTAGCACGTGATGATTGAGTGAGTAAGCTGGGAGGGGAAGGTCACCTCCAGCCTTTTTTGCTTCCGTCTCCCTGGACTTGGCTGGTGTCTGCCCCTGGCTCTGGGAAGGCCGGTGGGAGGAAGCGCTCCATTCCCAAGTCCTGCGCTGTGTGTGCACAGAAGACCCACTGTGACTCGGCAGGTGTCCATGGCCTGGCCGTGTGGGAGTGAGGCAGGAAGGGAAGGTGGAGCAGAGCCGTGAGCAGGAGAGCCTGGAGACCACTGCACGCGTGGAGGAGGACCCACCCAGGGATGCAAGGTCCCCTTCGTGTCCGCATGGCCCCCGTCCCAGCCCCTACCACTGAGCGTAATAACCCTCCCATTCGCCCAGCGCTGCACAACCCTCACCTCATTTGTCACCCTCACCACGACTCTCTGAGGGACATGAGCTTCATTCACAGAGAGAATCTGAGTCTCACAGAGGCCTTGAAAACTGCTCTCGTCTCGCAATCAGTAAGCAGTGGAGTCAGGATTAGAACCCGAGACCCTGTGACTGCGGGGCCCTTGTCCCACCGCAGATCATAGTGGCAGTCACAGAGAGAGAGAGAAAGAGCCTCCGCGGGGGGTGGGCCCGGCTCCCGCCGAGCAGCCCTGGGGGCCGAGGCCAGTCTCCGGCTTTGGTGGAGAAGCGGTGTTGCAGATTCACAGTCTTCAATCAGTGTCTGTTAACAATGCCACCTTGGGGTTTCCCATAAAAATCCAGGGAGCTCTTCTTAGCTCTTAGTCAGCTGGGGAGGAGGGGACGGGGCAAGCGTCCCACGGGCACTCGGTGGCACCCAGCCACTTTCTGGACACAACTTGAAGGCGGAGTGAGGACGCCTGTGTGCGATGCTGTCACTAATCTGCTACGCGACTCTGCGCCTCTCGTCCGCCTCCCGGGGGCCGCAGCCTCCTGCGTCTGAAAAGAGAGGCGCTGGGCCTCTCCGCGACCTCCGCCCCGCCGTCGCCGTGGACCGAGCGCCCGCTGCGCGGGGCAGGCCTGGCCCGGGCGGCGGGGCGCACCGTGTGCGGGAGGCGGCCTCGCCCGCGCCGCCAACGCGTTTCCCCCGGGCTAACCCGCTCCGGCCGCCGGGACCCCGCCTGCCCGACCCGCCCACCACACCCGCGCCCGCCGCCTAGAGACGCCCGCGCACATTCCCCGCGCTCACCTGGGCGTGTGCGCGACGCCCCTTCCTCCTCTTTTGCCCCCAGGAGTCTGCCCTGGGAGGCGGTGGGGGCCGGAATCCGAGTCCCAGGAAGGACCCGGCCGGGAGAGGCGCGGGGACACCACGGGGAGGCGCCGCCGCCTCAGGCGCGGGACCCCGGCGCCCCCTCGGCGGCCGGCGCGGCGATCACCTGCGCGGGCGGGGCGGGCGGGCGGGCGAGCAGCGCCAGGCGGCGGCGCCCGCGGCGACCCAGGCGGGCGGCGGGAGGCCGAGCGGGGCTCGCCGGAGCAGGTAGGAGGCTCGGGCGCCGCGGCCGCTGTCCACCTGCCGGCCGCGCTGGGCGAAGGAGAGCCCGGGGCTGGGGGATGGGAAACGGGGGCCCGGGCTCTCCCGCACCTTTGTTGGAGCCGGTGCCAGGTGTTTGCGCGCGAGGGCGGAGGGTTGGGGCGGTGGGAGGGAGGCCGATCGCCCCCAGGGAGGTTTGGAGGTAAGGGGGTGCGTACAGGTGCCCGGAGTGCGAACAAAGCTCACTTGAGCGCGGAGAAGCGCCCCTAGAGCCAGCCTGCATTGGGGGCTTGATATACCTACTGGGCACCCAGAAGGCAGGTAGTTTCCGTGTCCAACCCACCTACACAAGCCTCCGGCGGAGGGGACTGGGGCTCACCGGAAACAGGGTTTTGACCCGGCCGCCTGGAGGAAAACGGGACTTTTACCCGCTTGCGACTTTGTTTGTCTCATCTGTGAAATGGGCATCTTGATGTGGAGGCCCTTCCTGAAGATCTGTGATTCAATGAGACGAAAACTCACACCAGGGGAGGGGGCATGGGAGGAACCCAGGGTTCCAGCTCAGATCAGCAAATTCAACAGGCACGTTTCGAGCAGTTCCAGGGCGCTCATCAGACTCGCTGTGCCCGAGAAACCAGGCAGAAAGGACTCTGGTTTTCTGGGCATCCTTGTGGGATGAGGACATGGCTGTGTGGAATATGAGGGCTGGATTAGAGGCACCACGGAAGGCCTGGAGTCTGGGAAGAAGATTCCAGAAAGCTCCTTGGAGGAGGTGGAATTTGAGCGGGTCTGGGAAAGGAAAGGTAGTGGTTAGGGCAGGGCTTTGGGATGAGTCAATGTGGGCATTGGAAGCCCTGCCTTGGCCCCCAGCCAGGGCTGTCTAACTTAGCCTTGGGCAAGTCCGGTCTCTTCTCTGTGGTTCAGTTTGATGTGCTCCTTAGATGAAACAATTTCTCTGACAGATTAAGTCGGATAATCCATATAAAGTGCTCAGTACAGGGTCTGTATATAGCAGGCACTCAATAAGCACTAGCTATTAATTTCTGCTAGACTGTGGCTCTCTGGGGACAAGGACCTTGTCTAGTTGGTTTACTATTGCACCCCCAGCACCAGCAGGGCGCCTGGCGTACAGCATCTCAGTATGTATTTGTTGAATGAATGAATGTGAAGCCCGATGCTTGACACATGGGGCGTCGTCAGCAAATAATAGTGGACTTAGAGATGGCTAGGTTCTGACGGATGGGTATGGATGTGGGAGGCAGTGGTCTAGGTGGATGGAACAGGGTAAATATAAGCTCAGAGTAAGATTATAGGCACCCCCTCTTGCGGATGTGTGTGTGTGTGTGTGCGTGTGCTTGTTAGTGGCGGTAAAGTGACAGGCATAGCCAGAGCACAGGCATAGCAACTCGGGATCCCAATCCCAGAGCCACACAGAGTAGATGAACGAGCTGGAACTCCAAGTAGGTCAGAGACCTTTTTTATGTCCTCTAAGTGTCCACCCCAAAGTTACAGGGGTAAGGAGAGGGGACAGAGGGGCAGCCAAGAGACTACAGAGGACGATGAGTATCTGATGGGAGGGGAAGAGGAAAAGGGAAGGGGACTCCTGTGACCCATCACAGGCTGGAGCACTCTTCGCCTTGTCCCTGCGGGGCTCTGTGCTGGCTGGTGGCGACGTGAGCTGAAGGGAGGCAGCGTGGTGCCCAGCCAGCCAGCCACGGGTGTGTGTGGTCAGCCAGGCACACTGTGGGAATCTGGTGCAGTGGCTTCCGCATCACCGCACAGACCGTGGCCACTCCTGCCTCAGGCCGCCACAAAGCTATGTCCTTGAAGTAGAGCCACTCTAAGCACAGTTAGGGGTCTTTAGTTTTTCTGACCTCCTGGCAGTTGTGCTGGGTTTCCATCCCCCTGGGTTGACCAGGAATATGTGAGAAGCAAAGATCTCGAGTGGCAGTGAGGAGCTCAGGGGAGCATGGCCACAGGAGACAGGAGGCACTATACCCCCAAAGAGCCAAGCTCAAAGCTTCTTCTTGGGCCGGGCACAGTGGCTCACACCCGTAATCCTAGCACTCTGGGAGGCCAAGGTCAGGAGTTCGAAACGAGCCTGAGCGAGACCCAGTCTCTACTAAAAATAGAAAGAAATTAACTGACCAACTAAAATATATATACACAAAAAATTAACCAGCATGGTGGCACATGCCCGTAGTCCCAGCTACTCGGGAGGCTGAGGCAGGAGGATTGCTTGAGCTCAGAAGTTTGAGGTTGCTGTGAGCTAGGCTGACGCCACGGCACTCACTCTAGCCTGGGCAACAGAGTGAGATTCTGTCTCAAAAAAAAAGCTTCTCCTTGTAGCACTTTCCATAATTGCTCCTGACCTTTTGTTTTCTATCTGCATTTCGCTATAAACCCTGTGAGAACAGGGCGCAAGCCCACCCTGCTCCTCCCTGTCCGCCACCTAGCCCAGCGTGTGCTCACGGTGGGTGCTCAGGGAACCTGTGGATGCATCAGCCCAGGCTGAGGAAGGGGCCGTTGGCTTTGAGAGAGGAGATTCTGACAAAACTGACCTTGAGCTTCAGTTCTCATTGTGCAATCGCCACCCACGGCCAGCCCCTCTCACGGGTTTGCACCTCTGCCCTCTCAGCCGCCGCCATCAGTGCCTTTTCTCAGGGGAGGGTCTAGTTCTAGACAGTCGCGCCCAAGGGAGAGGCCTGGGCACTATGTTGCTGCTCCCCCGGCTCCAAGAGGGCAAAGCAACGTCCCAGCTGGCTCCCATCGCATTGTTCCTGGGACACAGCCCTAGGGTGTTAGAGCTATTGGGACCCTGAGAGGGAGTAGAGGGGACATCCTCATTTTAAAGGTTTGGAAACCAGGATCTGGGGAGGATGAGATGTGCTCAAGGACATGTAAAGTCAGGGAAGACCCACGTCTCCGAATTCCAAGTTCTTTTGACACTACAGCGGGAGGTGACATTCTCTGGGATTTGTAAATGCAACAACACGTCCCTTTATTTTCCAATCTTCCAATAAGTTGAGATAAAAGCTTAAAAAGAAAAAGGTAAAATGGATTTTAAGTTGCCCAATAAATCCTTTTAATTTCTAAAAAATCTCATGTATGATGACAAGAAAGATCCAGCATTACATACGTTCACCTGATTTTTTTTTAAAAAAGTTATATATTTGATATCGAAGCAAAATATCTAAAATAGAAACCTCCCTAAATTGGGCTGAGCGATGGCCGGCCAGAAGTGCCCGTGTTAAGGTGTGCACTGTGCGTGCTGCTGTCCGAGGGCCTCTGCAGTGGGCTAGAAGCGGCAGCATGTTTGTGTGTCCTGGACGACCTCCAAGCCCTGTGCGTATTTCCCTCCTCGGTTTCCCCATCCCCATCCATCCTGCCTCCAGATGCTGTGGTTGGCCTCTCGGCCTGTGGCATCCCGCGCTCTCTTTGGGACCCAGCAGGATGGATCCCTCATTGTTTGCTCTGAAATGAATTCCTGATCAGAAATGTAGATCCCAAGTAGGCAGGAGAAGACAGGAAGAAAGGAAAGGGACCGAGCCAAGGACAGAGCCAGCCAGTGAGCCTCGGTGGATTCCTGAGCCGGGCAGGGAGTGGGGATGCCAGAGCTGGAGTCGGATGGCGGGGCAGGAACTTCATGCGGTTTGAAACTCCCAGGGTAGTGGCTGCAGTTGGGCCTAGGGAAGGGAAAGAGGGTGTGCCAATCTCTAAGACAGAGAGGCCTATTCTGCAGCCTGTCCTGCCTGGACGGGACACACCTGAGCTGCTGGGGCCCTTGGTGGGGCAGTACCTGCTGGAGGCCTCAGGGCAGTGGAAGGCCAGCATGCCCTGCTCCAGGGCTCGCTGTGGGCGAAAGGACCCGCAGGGAGGAAGGTTGGAAGAGAGTAGGGGAAAAGCTCTGTGCTCTGCCTCAAGCCACATCTCCTCTCTGAGCCTCAGTTTCCTAATTTATGAGCCAGAGACGATAGTAGCCACTGCAATCACTTCGTAAGTATTAATTTCCCTTCTCCTTTGGAGTCGTTTATGTCTAGAGATCTGCTGAGCCAACTTTTAGGGCAAACAGCCTCAGGATTTTAAAATTCCTCCCACAATTCACCCATCATTGGTTCATTCATGCAGTCCACTTCTTCAATGCCTGCTAACAGCAGCCAGGGCCTGCACTGGGCATTCAGCAAGAGCCCTTTTTGCTGCCAGTCTGGTTTCTGGCAGACCCACAGAACACGGTGGCCTTGCTTGGAAGCTTTGATCTGTCCCTCCACCTGGGTGTATCTCCTGAGCCTGTTGTGCAACAAAAAGCAATTGTGTGACTTTTGCCCTCACTGCTGTGCCCATGCCCGTCCTGGAGGTTTCTTGAGGTTTCAGTTTGAGTTCCCAGAGGAAAACAAATGGTTAACTCTATTGGCAGAGAGCTTCCCTGGGTGCCCACACAGAGCCGGATGCTGCACACGCCTCCTGCAGGCCCTTTGACACCCCCAGGAGGTGGGTAGTATTGTTCCCCAGCCCCACCAAGGTTCAGAGACAAGCAACTTATGGGTTGCTGCAGAGCTGCCTAGGATGCGTTCTGACTTCCCTGAGCCCCGGGCAATGTCCCCTCCTCCATAAAAACATTACAAATTATATTTATGACTGCGTTGGAACATTAAAACATTTTCTTCAACCTAAAAGTCCCTTTTTCCTTCAGACTTTGAAAGAAATGAAAACATGTTTGTGAGCTCCTAAAAGTACTGTGGGCTGTGGGCACTGTGCCACCAATGCCATTGTCCTCGAGCTAATGAGAAATGGCTGAGACTCCAGGCCAGGCCCATGGACCTGGAAGCACTAACCTCCCCACGGCACTGCCTTTAGCAATTAAGAAAAGAAGGAGTCTGGGCACGGTGGATCATGCCTGTAATCCTAGCATGCTGGGAGGCCGAGTTGGGAGGATTGCTTGAGGCCAGGTGTCTGAGGCCAGCCTGGGCCAGAGCAAGACTCTGTCTCTACTAAAAATAGAAAAATTA